TAACACCCCACCCCCAAACACCCCACAGACGGGGGGGGAGGAGAAAGTGGGGAGCAAGAGTCCAACATTTTTAAAATTTGCCAAGTTTGAGAAACATTGATCAGATGTTTGCCTTTTGGGTCACTAACACCATCTAGGAGCACTTTGAATCCTCAGCTGCTTAAAAAAAAGCTTTTATTTCAGTGGGGTCACCTACTATACCCTCTCAAACATTATGCTCTGTCTTTTTAAAATAATCTATGACTATATTTTAACATACTCAGATTAAAAAGGCAGCATTTGTGCGAGGAAAAGCAGCAATATACCCTTTTTCAAAAGCTGCATTTTTGTAAGCCTTCCTTTTGGCATAGCTCCCCCTAGTGGCAGTACATCCCAGGATGCTCTGGTTCCTGTTTGGATCATGCCTGCCTGCAAATAATAAATTGCTTTTCCACAAAGCAAGACAATTCCACAAGTAGGAGCATTTGGAAAGCATTTTTTTAAAAGAAGAAGAAGAAGAATTTTCCCTTCACAGCTGGTGAAATTATCCAAACCACATTTAAAAGAGGTCCTTTGTGGTTTTCATTAAACTATATAAAATATTCCATTTCCTCTACAGGTGCAAACCTCTTTTTCCTACTTCCTTTTTTTATTCTGCCTTCCTTCCCTCATGGATACTCCTACTCATGAAATTAAACGCTATTTTCAAAAAGGCATGTTATGTCCAAAAAGTTACAAAACGTAAAAGCATTTTCAGACGCTAAATATCCAAGCGTCTTGAAAACTATTCACAGGAGTCATAAAGCCATACAAATTAATACGAATTAGACCTGTAGGGCTGAAACATCCACAAGTAAAAGCAACGCGTTCTTTTGTCTCCTCTTACATCTGCTAACGTGAACAAAATGTTTTCCTACTTTTTAAAATGTCATTAAATGCGCACGCACACACACACACACACAAACACAGAGCCCAGCCAACAACTACACACAGCTATAGAGTGCCAAATTCTGTACGCGCTGACATAGCGAGGCAGAAACCGGCTTCATCAACTGGTTTTCAGGGCGACTGAGAACACGCCGGTTCAGTTACACGAAGTTTGGGGTAACTGAAATGCCAGAACTGTCGGCAAAGCCAACAGGACTTTATCTGAAGCCCCTGCCTGTTCAGAACCGACCCAGACCACGACTTGCAAGTGACCATCAGCGACTAGAAACTGAAAGAGCAGCTGGAAAAGGTATTCCTAGCTCAGCCCGAATTAACAAGCCCCATTTCCGCAAAAGTCTCGCAAAAAGCCTAAAACAAAGAGTCTCCCCTACCACCCAGCCCAGTCATGCTGGATCCAGTGAATCTCCCTTCCTTGGCTCTCTTGAGATCGACAGCTGCTTTATAGCAAGTCGTTTGTGCCTTACCTGCTTCATGTTTAGAATTCCATTATCCATCCATCCAGAAGTTCAGCAGAAACCCCGGTCCCATCCGGTTTCCTAGTTCCCAACAAGCCAGCAACTTTTCGCTGCCTGGTGCCTGCTGTCGCAGAGCGCCTCTGAGAACAACGTCCAGCTCCCCAGCCTTGTCCCTATAATGGCCCGCACCAAGGGAGCAGCAGCAGAGAAGCGACTCTGCCTGAGCTCCAATTTCAAATCACAGCTCAGATATGCATTTGTGGGCTGAATTAGGCCATGAAATAGCTTCACCAATCAGGAGAAGGGAGGGGAGAGAGGAAGGGAGGGAGGGAGGAATCGTGCGTAAAGCTGCATACAGGAGGATTAGAAAAGCTTTTAAGGGATTCAGAGGCTGGAAACCGTGTCTAGGTCTACAAAGAGGGAAGTCAACCTGTGCTGTAAGAGATCAGTTTTCATTCATAACTTCTCAGCATTCATTCCTAATCCTGAACAATTCGTGAGATCTACCAAGAAAAAAAACAAAAGCAAAACCTCTACACTTTAAAGGTAGAATGAGGCTATGGAGAGAATCAAATGGCATCTTTTCTTATATACTGACAATCTGCCATCCTAAAAGAGCATCTTCTCAAGAGAGGCAGATTGTCCTGTATTGTCTGTATACTTCCTTATCTCCCAAGGTCAGAGTCATACTAATCAAAAGGTGAATTGAAAAAAAAACAACTGGCATTTCCCCCAAATTTAGTTCCAAAGCTAAGGCAATAGGTTCACCTTTTAAATACTATAAAGAATGAAAATAAAATTACTGGGGGCTTCTATTTGGTTTTGCTTTGTTTTTGTGCTCTCTCTCTCTCTGTCACTCACTCACTCTCTCTCTCTCTGACTCTTGCTTTGAAGCTGGGTTTAGTATATGGCACTTAGTTTGTTTATACTGTTCTGGTCTGAGCATGTAGACCCTGACCAAACAACTTCTTTTTTTTTTTTTGACACACATTTCATCCTTAAGATTGGCTGCGAATGTGAATGTTAGGTTTTCTATTCCACTCTAAAGGGAAATCTGTCCTTTGATCTCTAGGTTAAAAAAAAAAGCAAGTCTGAAGTCTGAAAAAACCCATTGTCATGGATTTGCTACAGCAATGACTGTACTTATCTAAGTGAGGTATAAATCACTTTGAAGAGCCTCACAAATCAAAGCAGAAAAATTCATACTTATACCAAAATATCACAGTCAAATCATGAAACTGCCCTTTCCCTCCCTTAAGATATTCACAAGGCAGAATTAGAGCCCCATCAATGTTCATACATAAAGATCATCCATAATTTTGATTAGAAGTTAATATATGATTTACGCCTTTGTTTCTTTTTAAACTGTCAAACACAGTCTGAATGGTATAAAGATCAGTTAGAAGGTATATACTATCAGCATTGATTGATAAATATAGCAGCAGCAGTAGGATTATGATAAGATAAAAATCAACACTAGTGTCTTTCTGGATTCAGGCAGTGCTATAATGAAATAAAATGTTATTAATACAATAGGTAAAACAAGAAAAGTGTTAGCAAAATATTATTCAATAGCCTAACACTGATTCCTATTTCCTGAGAAAATAAGGTCTGATATCAGAAAGACCTTAATGTAGGCATCAGGCATGCTTTTTGGGGGGAGAATGGATTGCCACTAAGTGAGAAGGTCCTTTCTCTTATGGCCTACAGTGGGGCAAAAAAGTATTTAGTCAGGCACCAATTGTGCAAGTTCTTCCACTTAAAAAGATGAGAGAGGCCTGTAATTTTCATCATAGGTATACCTCAACTATAAGAGACAAAATGGGGAAAAAAATCCAGAAAATCACATTGTCTGATTTTTAAAGAATTTATTTGCAAATCATGGTGGAAAATAAGTATTTGGTCAATATATACCTACTGTGAAGCATGGGGGTGGAAACATCATGCTTTGGGGCTGTTTTTCTGCAAAGGGACCAGGGATATTGACCAAATACTTATTTTCCACCATGATTTGCAAATAAATTCTTTAAAAATCAGACAATGTGATTTTCTGGATTTTTGATATTGACCAAATACTTATTTTCCACCATGATTTGCAAATAAATTCTTTAAAAATCAGACAATGTGATTTTCTGGATTTTTGATATTGACCAAATACTTATTTTCCACCATGATTTGCAAATAAATTCTTTAAAAATCAGACAATGTGATTTTCTGGATTTTTGATATTGACCAAATACTTATTTTCCACCATGATTTGCAAATAAATTCTTTAAAAATCAGACAATGTGATTTTCTGGATTTTTGATATTGACCAAATACTTATTTTCCACCATGATTTGCAAATAAATTCTTTAAAAATCAGACAATGTGATTTTCTGGATTTTTGATATTGACCAAATACTTATTTTCCACCATGATTTGCAAATAAATTCTTTAAAAATCAGACAATGTGATTTTCTGGATTTTTGATATTGACCAAATACTTATTTTCCACCATGATTTGCAAATAAATTCTTTAAAAATCAGACAATGTGATTTTCTGG